ATGGAGGCATTAAAAAGTATAGTCTCTGAAAGCTGTTGTAAGTTGAGAAATTCCCAATGTTTAGGGCTCTTTTCTGGTAAGTCACACTATGTTATATGTGGCAATGATATGAATAGGTCAAAAGATATCTTTGGGTACACATCCTCTATCCCATCTTAGTCTCTCTCGTGCATCAGATGTGATCCTTGCTGATTTTGGTCTGTTCTCTTGAAATTTGGAACTGGTTGTTTCAAAAAGCAATTGTTCAGGAAACTGAGAACTGCCTCTTCCTATGCCATTCTTTATTTAACTTTTTTCTGCAGTCTGTTTTGTTTCTAGGACAGTCCTATGATCTAAATCCTGCCCTTTCTGAAGTCATTTCTGGAGTATCTTTTGCTGTTAATAGAAAGGCATCTTTGTAATGGCATTGTGTACAGAAATAGGAGTCTAGTGACCACCACAGCTCTTGGATCCTACCTAATCCTCCTCCCTATTTCTAGCTTGAAATAATTGCCCTAAATACTGTATTGGTTCTTGCTTCCTCCTGCGAGGCAGATCTGTCCCTTTCTCCCCTCCATACAGATTCTTCTCTCTTCCAGACATATCCTCGTTCTTCGTTCCCGTTCTGTTTATGTTGACTTCTTATGTATACAGTGAAACTCTGAGATTTCTCCCATGTAACAAGCCTTATCAGTGAAGTTGAAGACTTAGCAGAGAAAGCTGTGTTAATGGTCCTGGATGTTAAGTGTCTTCTAAATCTGAGAATCGATTTCACGCACCTTTCTACATCTGCAAGAGTATAATAAAGATCCCTTGACTTACCAATAAAGTACAGCTAGTTTGGCTTGAAAGTAGAAACGCTTCAGCAGCATGGAACGGTCTACAATGCAGTTAGATAGAAGAGTAGCCTACGCAGTTGCAGCTACTAAAGGAATCCGGATAAGTGGAAGGCAAAACCTGTATGATACAGTATGGCCAGGATGTTAGATAAAGCTTCAGAAAGATCCGCAGGATCTTTAATAGACTTGCTAAATCTAAATCCTTTTCTGTTTGCACCCAAGAGGTGACATTCCCTCAGTAGTATCCCTGGCACTGAAAATGTAATCATAAGAGAAATATCTGCTATTATACAAGGGACATTACTTTTTGTAGCCCATGGTTGCCCCTTGAAAGTTCCTCATACAATAGTTATTCCAATGCTGTTCTGCTTATCTTGCAAGAATTGATAAGATGATCACAGGGATGTAAATTTTAGCATAATTTTCATGCTGCTTAATTCTTTCAGTACAGGCTGCTGCATAATCAGAATAAGTACATACACTGTTTCAGGTTCTGACTTCCATTACAAGTTGCAAGCAATTTTTACGGGCCGTTTCCGTGGCATTACATTTGTGATTCTTTCTTGCTATTGTCATTTACATTTTCAGTAGTCCATATTTCATATGTGTGGTAGTTCAGCAGTCATTTTTCCAGAACTAACTTTGTTCTTTCTGGGGTAGGAGCTGCCTTCACATGCTTGGAGACTGCATTCCGCCTTGATGCTCTACACAGACAGATGAAGCTCCTTGGAGAAGACAATCCTGTCAGCAAGCTTCAGGTTAAACTGGAGCCAGGTATTGCTTTTGCTGGAGCTACTGTACACAGAATTGCTATATATAGATGCTGGAATATGGACCAAAAAAAGACTAATTTTTACATACCCTTTGTAAGAGAAAGAAAAAAGAAATTTTAGCTAGTAAAACAGTCTAAAAGTAAAGGGGGGAACTTGCCTTCAGTGAGCTGCATGTTCTGATTGTCAGTTTTTAAAATATGGAGGAAGTTTTCTTCAAACTTTGCTAACTCACCTATATGAATGTTCTGTTTAAAAATAGAATGTACAGACTCCTTGGGCAGAAACCAAGCGTGAAAAACTTCTGCCTTGTTTTGAGGCCGAGTAGTTTTGAGCCTCCAAATGTGTAAACTTAAGCAGTTTGTAATGAAAATATTTAAACATCAGATAATTTTGTTTTATTAAATGTTCTTCTTTTTTATGAGTTTGTGTAAGTAATAGCTACATATGTATACATAAACACAGAAACGTATGTACTTGCTTTCCTGTTGAGTCAGCCATGCAATATTAGAGGCTGTTTGGTTGTCTCCTGAGCCAAATACGCTCTTGCATTCCAGCGCCATGTGCCTCTTCGTTGATAGTTCTCTATTTTTATCATTATCTGTTTCATTGAAGGTGTACACGGAGCCCCACTCTGTGAAGCAGTCTTCACTCTAGATGCATAAAATAACCTAAAATGCACGTAGGGATATCACTGGGACTAAGTGGAATGAAAGAGCAAATTGTTAGTGTGTTGGAAGCCTCCAAAAAAACGAATAAGTAATGCTTATTCCTTATATTGAAATCTATGGTGATTCTCTGAGTTTTGTTTTCAAAAAGACTTTGTTTTCAAATTCTAGGTGTGCTTTCAGTATCTTCTCATTTGAAGTGACTCGTTTCATAGGGAATTAATATTTAGCCTACAGTCATTGATTTTTCAGCTGTATGCTTGGACTGCTTCTCAGATGACACTGAGCAGTAAGTTAAATGTACTGATAACAGGTTTGTTTTGTTTTTGAGTCACTGCACCTCAACTATGAGATCTCTAGGGGGTCTGCAGGTTTAGAAGGGTTGGAAACTAGAGTTCTCATTAAACAGTGTCTTGTAACCTTATTGTTTTCTCCTTTCAGGTGTAAATCCTAGCAATTTAATGAACCTCTTCACCTATGAGAAAGGCTACTGCTTTGTTTACTACCTGTCCCAGCTCTGTGGAGACCCAAGACACTTTGACTCCTTCCTAAGAGTTAGTGTGAATAAGTACCTACAACGCCTAAAACATGTGCTTCTCAGGAGGTTTAGAATTGCTTTGGTTTCAGGTTTTGTCACTGTGACTAATTGTCATGGTGATTAAGGGTAAAGTAGAACACAAGGATGTCTGAGGTGGAAGAACAGTGTGGCTCCTTCTGCCATCCTAGGATGTTTCTCTCAGTGCATGACAGTTTTTTTTGTGAGTTTTCTCTTAAGTGCATGCGCCCATACTCTTTTTCCATCTCAAATTCTGAGCTTATGAGGTTGCCAAATACAGAGGAATAGTGTGTGTGTGTGTATATATATATATATATTTATTTACCTCTTGTTCTGTGCTCCAAATAATTAAAAAGCTGTCCCAACATGGATTAGTTATGACTAGAATGATGCGACTTTAGTTATGACTAGAATGATGCGACTTTAGTTATGACTAGAATGATGCGACTTTATTCAATACTAAAAATTCTCAGCGTTTGCTTTTTAAGCTAGAACGACTGGAAAACCAACTCCCTGCAAAAGGCATAGTTTCCTATATTTGGGGGCAGATTTGGTATTTTGGAGCACGTTTGCAAGAATCTGTAGAAAATTAGGTCAGCTATTGACTTCTTTTTGAAAAATAACACAAATCATTGCTTTTTCTTTTTGCTGCATGCATTTTATTTCTTCTCTTCCCATCCATTGCCCATTCCATCTCTCTCTCCTGCATAGTTATAACAGTATGGCTTTAGTCCATAGTCTATCAGTGAATAATACAGTAGCCAGCTGTGCTCCTGACTTTCACAAGTGTGAAGTATGAGGAAACCTTCCTGCCCTTGGTATGTTGGTGTGTCAGTGATCTGGATGAGAAGAAAACTGTACTCAGCTGTCAGTATTTTTGCAGCTACCCTTTCTTTTTTGGTTATGGTGCTTTCCTCATCTTCTGGTGGGAGGGAGCATTTTCTTCATCTAAACCCTCACCCACCTTCCAAATACCTGTTCTCACCCTTGTATCCATTTTTTATTGGATGCAGTGGTTCTCCCTCGATTGAAAGTTGTCTTTCTTCTAACCATAATTTACCCTTTACACTATTACAGGCCTACATTGAGAAGTACAAATTTACCAGTGTTGTGGCTCAAGATCTTCTGGATTCCTTCCTGAATTTTTTTCCAGAGCTGAAAGAGCAATGTGTTGAGAGCAAAGCAGGTAGGGCGAACTGCAGAAACTATAGAAACTCTGGATGATAAATGTTGTGCTTGGGTTAGAGAATGCATGAGCAAATGCTAAGGCTGAGGCAAACAAAGCCCTTTGACAGCAGCCAGATGTTCATGTTAAAATTGGTTGTGATGATTCAATGTGTTGGGGAATGAGAATATCTTAAGTTGATACACAGTTTCACCCTTAATCAACTGAGTGCCTCTTGGTTAACATTCTGATTAATTCATCTTTCACTCTGCAGGCAGTGATCAGTTTATATCTACACATGTTCAAATGGAAATCATCATGATTACAGAGAGAGGATGATGGGAACTTACACTGAAATTCCATATATTTTAATTAAGGAAGCATACCTTGAAAACTGTAATGTTCCCAAGATCCTTTATGCCTATAAACTCTCTTCCATAATGTTTCATCCTCTCCTTATATCCTCTCCTTGCTCATGGATTTGCAAAGATCTGTAGTCTACTAGATGTTTATTAGCCTGTTTTCTTAAAGAAATGAGACGTGTCCTTCCTTGCAAATAATCATCGAAACCATTTGGTCAGTTTAAACCAAATTGGCAGTGGAATACAGCTCTATTAGGTTTCTACAAGCTTTGTGGAAGCTGCCTGCAGAGACTTGTAGATTAGTGCTCCTACTGTGGGAAGCGCTGCAGCATGAGCTCAGCAGTTCTGTGTTTTGTTTGGCTCACTAGTTGGCTAGTGAGGGAACCGCAGTCTGTGCTAACTTTGCTTAGCTAGTATTCAGGGGATGCAGGAGAGAGGAGTTTTAGGGGAGATGGTGTGGAACTGGAAGTGTGGCCAAGGATAGGGAAGTGCTGTGGTGGAAGAGGGTCAAGGGGGGGCAGCTGGCAGCTCTGTTGGAAACCAGGCTCTGTTGGTTCTGCCGCTTGTGGAGAAACTTTTTTGGTTTGACTTATATATGGTATAAATGAATCTAAAATTGCTTACGTTTTTGCTGGTGGGATAGAAGGGGTTTAGTCAGCCCTCTCACCTCCTTTTCTTATGAAGCAGATTTCCCCCCCCCCTTATTTTTTTTGAATCATAGACATTTGTCTGCCTGTCATGTGTTTCTCAAGAGCTTATCGTTGCAGTGAGTAAGTACTAGATAACGTCACTGTTAAAATTGGCAGAGATTTTGCTGGCACTCTCCCAGGTGTAGCGTAGGCTACCCTGCTGAATCTGCCAAGACTGACTGGGGCTCTCTCAGGATCTTGCTTCTGACATGTCACTATAACTATAGGTTGGTCTGATTTGCTATTGTTAGAACCTCTCTAAAGTGTGCCAGAAGCAGTTGTGAACGTTGAGACAGCCAAGCCACCTATAGAGGCTCCGCTTGACACGTTTTGGTGCTCCTTATTCCAGGACTGGAGTTTGAACGTTGGCTCAATGCTACAGGACCTCCATTAGCTGAGCCAGATTTATCTCAGGGATCCAGTCTGACCAGACCAGTGGAGACTCTCTTCAAACTCTGGACCACCGAACCTCTGGATTCTGTTGCTGCTGCCAGCAGTGTTGACCTCACTAAATGGCGAACGTTTCAAACCGTGCTTTTCTTGGACAGATTGCTGGATGGGTCACCACTGCCACATGGTGGGTACTCTGTCAGGATGGTAGAAAAGTATTTCTGGAATGAAGACTTGAATTCTTTAGTTTATTTTGTTCAACTATCACCAAAAAAAAAAAAAAAAAAGAACCCCCCCCATTTGAGTTTATCATTCATTATTCACTAGTGACCCTCAAACGTGACAAAATACGTCATAGTAATATGTTCTTTCTCTATGTATCTCCTCTCTTTAGTGGTGATAAAAAAGCTTTCGGAGTGTTACTCCTCTCAGCTGGACTCCATGAATGCAGAGATCCGTATCCGCTGGTTGCAGATTGTAGTCCGAAATGACTATTATCCAGACCTTTACAAAGTCCGTCGCTTCTTGGAAAACCAGGTACTAACTGCTGGATTAAAATCACTGCACCTCTCAGTGCATGAGACATGTGCATGAGACATGCGACGTGAAAGACCTTGGAACTTCTGCTTCCTGGCCAAGTGTAGACCAGGTGTGTTGCGAAGGGGCCGAGCGTGGCTCACCTGCTAGCGGGTGGGGAGGAACGGGCAGATGTAATTTGAATTGCCTATCAATAACCTCTGCTTTTCTAGCTTAACTCAATACCCTCGTCCCAGCTCTGCCCAATGTGGTTTTTGTGTTGCTTTGTAGCAGCCCTGGCTTTTCTAGAGCAGAATTTTTCACAATACTAAATCATACGATTTTTTTTTTTTTTTGTGGTGAATATTTACACTTCAGGCAAGACTAGGGCTCATCAAATTCTTTTCAGTAGTTGTTTTATTGTGCAGTAGCAAAAAGTTAATGCAGGTATTTGCTGGGGCTGTTCTCCTTGGCTTGTTAGGTAATTCTGTTATTTGTGGATATAGCTCAGTCTGAGAGAACAAGTGGTTTCTTTTTGAATAGCATTTGTAAAACCTTTGTATTAAATTTATTTAGAATAGGCTTGGCTATTGGAAGAAATGTGGTATTTGTCTCCAATCTGAAGTCATTTAGGGCTGTCTGAGTGTAGTTGTATACTGGCTAAACCTCTTGCCTTTCCCTGAAGTGGTATTATCCAGTTTTCCTTTTTTGCAGATGTCTCGGATGTACACAATTCCACTTTATGAGGACCTTTGCACTGGCACGCTGAAGTCTTTTGCCTTAGAAATTTTTTACCAGACCCAAAACCAGCTGCACCCCAATTTGCGGAAAACCATCCAGCAGATCTTATCACAGGGCTTGAATCCACTTCCTGCCATAGACACTACAGCAGTCGCTACAGACACACCAGCAATGGTGCTTGAGGACAAAGTCTCAGAGGCCACTAACGGCGCCATTTCACTCAGGGATGTTAATGTGTCTGCTTAGATCACCAGCTCATGCCAGCCATGGAGCTTGAAAATGGGGACAGGAACAGAGGAAAGATACAAAGTGTCACCTCCTTTCCCTCAGCCCTGCAGCTGCAGTGTATTGTAACTGGATTTCTTTTCCCAAAACACAAAGCAAATGTGCCTTCAAGTACCCAGCGTATGACACTGCCAGGCTTCAGAGATCTCCTTCAGCTGTGGGATGGGTATTTTGATTCAGTTTATACAGGGCAGGGTCTCCTGGGCAGTTGCTTCTCCAGGGAAAGTGGATAGCTCTCTTTCCTGAGGCTCTTCTGGATGGTTTCTCTGAGGCTCTTCTGGATGGTTTCTCTGAGGCTCTTCTGGATGGTTTCTCTGAGGCTCTTCTGGATGGTTTCTCTGAGGCCTCTTTTGTTTGAGGCCATTGAAGCTCATCCTACTTGCTGTGTGTATGTTGCTGGAGAGTGTATATGTATCCAGCTGCCATTACCCTGATATTTGGGCCAGAGTTCTGCAAAGGAGAGGCTCAGGAGTTTTAAGTGGTAGGAAGATATGTTTTCATGTGACAGAAGTGTTGTGATTTGGGAGGTAGGGGACTAATGCTTAAATAATTGAGAAACTAATTTTACATAGTGCCTGGGTTTTTTCCCCAGTTGGATAAATAATAATGCTTTATATATTTATACACACACACAGTCACACACACACACACACACACACACACACACACACGTGAATGTATAGATGTATGTGTGTGTGTGTATATACACACACACACACATCTATATGTATATAAAAAGAGCAGGGAAATTTTGTGATGGATTTGAAATCCTTCCGTAGTTAACCCTACCCTCAGTTTTTCCTTTGCACTCATTGGGACAAGCAATAATGAAACATTTAGCTCGAATTTTCAGAAAAAGTTAAATTAGGTGCCCAAATACCATCAATTCTGGTAGTGGTTGGATGCCTAAATCTTTTAAACTGTTTTGACAAGTCTAGCTGCAACCGTTGTTAGTGTCTAAGGATGTGCTTTCTTCAGATGCAGTGTGGGTTTTCCATTCTGTCCTTCTGAAGGAATTAACAGGACCTTTTATTGAATTTTTTTAAAAAATCCTTAGCGTGTGTTGGGCCTGTAAGTCAACCGTGGAGATTTCCATGCTAAAATTTTATTGCCTTGAATAACAATTGCCTAAATGACAGTTACTCAGTCATATGATAGTCTGAGGAAAGCACCCTCTTTCTTGATGTGAAACTTTTAAGCCCTGCTTTACCTGAGTCTGTTCTCTGACTCGTGGAGGTGGGAAGATGCCAATTCATTTACACAGCATGCTATTTCTCTTGATCACTAGCCAGGCACACAGGATGGAGAGATCCTCTCTTCTATGCCATCTGGTTTCAGAAGTGCTGAGGGCAAAGCATTGTTGGGGTTCCTGGTGCACCCCAGGGAATTACACAGTACAGGTGATGGTTCTTAGATTCTGTGCCACATTCTTTAAAGCGTGGGTCATTTGTGTGCCTCTCCGTGAGCTCCCAGTAATCATCTCTGAGCTGATGTGTGACCATGATAATTTGAATAAAAAGTGAAACCTTTGGAAGAGGCTCAGCTGAAGGAGATGTGAGAGAGAATCTGTTGTATCCTTTTGGGCAAATTTTGGTGCTGCTATGAGGATCTACATAGCACAGGAAGAAGGGACACTCGGGAGATTTTTTCACCAAAAGAATCTGTTTACACCCATGTGTGGATGGGGACTTAGGTGCTGTTACTGGATATGTGTTTTCTGGCTTTAAATTAATTTGGACTTCACTGTAGCCTTAGCCTGGGCTGAACTGGGATATAGCAATAATAAACTCAGGCCTCCTTAGTGCTTCGTTAGTTTTCAAAACGGGCCATCTGCATTGTTGGGCTTGATAACTCCAAGCTCTGCTCTTTTTGAATGGGTTATCTTTTTTTGTTCTGTTTTGTTCTCCCAGAGGGGATGGAGAATGATGTTTTCTGTACAAATCTCTTTCCTTTTTATTTGTTGCTCTGTTGAAAGAGATTTGTGCAAACTGACTTTCCACTTCCTGAGTTGCCACTGTTGGTGCTGTGTCTCCTGGACCCCACTGCCAGCAGTGGCAGCCTGGCCAAGACCAGTAACCACTAGCATCGTTTGGAATCGTAGGCCTCCGTTTTAACATGTTTTATTTTGTGGGAGAATGTATGTGACCCTGGTGGGAATTTTTAATTTACGTGGATGCCTTATGATGATTGTCAAATTAAACTAAGCTTTGTGACAAGTTTAGCCTTTTGGGCTGTTTTTCAGTGTCCCTGCTATAGACATATGGAAGAGCTAACTTGGTACGTTGTCTTTGTTTTGTTCTTTTCTGGAGTACAGCACATGAGGAGTTTGAAAGCCACTTAAAAGCTGCACAGCCAAAAGTTGGAGAGGAGGCAAAAGAAAAATAATCAAAAGTAAATATTATTTGTTGTTATTACAACTGTCTGAAATGCATCAGGTCAGCTGTGTGTTTGCGTATGCATGCATCAGAACAGGGAAATGCTGGCTGAACCTAACAGACTTTCCTGATTAAAGGATGCAAGATTTAAGTTAGCGTTTCTTTTCTCATCTCTGTGAGATCCCATCAGATGGCTATTTTCATAAGACTTGTTCTTCTAAAACACAGAAGCAGTGTAAGATTTGTTGAAAATATTCCCTGCTTCTTTCATCAGGTACTGTGGCTCCTCCCGTGAACAAGGAGTGCATTTTTATTTTGAAGAGATTAAAAAGTTGGAAGCGTGTTTGTGGAGATAAGCCTTCCTTTTGTTGATACAAAATAAATTAATGCTTCAGGCAACTTTCTAGCATGATCTATCATAGACTTTATGTTGACCGGAAAATTCGACTGAGATTAAATAGAAACTGTTTATGGGCCCTATCTTTGCTAGGTTCATTTTTGGTAGGTTAAGGTAAAATTAATACAGCAAATCAGTTTTATTTAAGCGGATACCAAGAGATATGGTTATCTTCCTTTTTCTGAAAATCAAAGTTATTATTTACCTTCTTTATTTCATTGTGGCCTTGAGCAGGGTGATATGGGATCTAGAAATATCACTTGTGGAAAAGCTCTGATGAGCCAAATGCTTTAATAAAATGGAATACTACTAACTTCATCTTTTTAGCATTTCATAGTCATGTTGGATAATACATTAAGTATAATTCCTGTTAGCTGCACGTATTATTCTGTCAAGCTTGTATCAGTAATTATGCTGCCATGGTTATATTACAAAATCCTAACTGTGCACACTCTCTTAACCAAGAGCAATTCTAGCAAGCATCTCAAACATTCTGGTTTAACCTAAGTTTTGTCATGTTCTCACACAACAGTGACCTTGGTTATTGCCTTTTTCGGATAACAGGCGGCTTCTGTACTTCTATGCTAAGCACACTTACTGCACAATTCACTTAGGTCAAGCACACTTCCCCACTCTCTTTTCTCTGCTTGTATTTGTCCACAGTTAAAACACCTCAATACAAGCAACACTTACAAATCACATGACCTTGCTTTCACACTTTTTGTCATAGATTAAAGTCTTCATGAGATTTATGAAACCGCTAATGTCTAAGATGCAGTATCTATTTTTTCTGTTGGGAAGAACAAATTTAAATGACATTGAATTTGCTGAAGCCCTGGGTAAATTGTTCTAGTTGTTAATTATATGCCCTCTTAAAAAAGTCTACCTAATTTCTAGTTTGGATTTTTCTAGTTTCAGCTTCCAGGTCTTGAAGCTCCTGCTTTGTTTGACAAACATAGGAACTATTTACTGATAGTAACCTCTT